CCAAATTCGTGGGTAGAAGCTCATTTTGTTCACTGCAACTCTTTGCTTCATTTCTGTTGAAATGGTCATGTGACAACATGTACTGTAGCCGTAGCAGCAGTGGCGTGTCTAAGGCAAGATAGCCTGACGGAGCCCATTCCTTTTCAGGCTGATTTTCCATCTCCCAGACTGAATTAGAACCCACCTGGCCTTGCTATTTAATCCATATCTGGGAGAAAGGGAGAAAAGATTGATACAAAAAAAAATTCCCGTGCGTATTTGTGCGAAAGTTAACGTAATGGACACAACCGGAATTCGAACTTTGCTCGCCGTCTTCACTTCACGAGTCGCTAATCGTTACGGCAAAAAATATCTAATGTAATAATATTTTAGCTGGGTATTTTAATTTGATATTACTCGCCGCCATAAATAAATAAGATTACAATTAGACATTAATTAACGAATATCATTAGACCTTAATTAAGGAATATTACTTAATCAAAATTTTTGGCCTTAAATAACTAAGACTATGGTTTCTATGCTTCTCGCCAAATATAAAGAAAGACAATTAGCGAGAGGCAATGAGGGTTAAGGGTGATAATTTCAGCTCAGAAGAATTTCTGAAATCTACCCATTAACCCAGAGAAGCACAATTAAGGAAATGATTAACTATAACACGTCATGTATAAAAATTATACTCTGAATTCATTCAGTAACAATCTACCTTAAGTGGTTCTTAGATGACTAATTATTTTAAAAAAATCACTTTTTCTTCATTATAGAATCCAAGAACATTATTTAACATGTAGAATACATCTTTGTATTCGCTATCATTCATCATTAGTTGCTTTTCGCCCCTTCGGCAGATTGCGAACTAACATGGCTTATTTCCCGCCATTTTATCACAATCTTGAGTAACTTATTTAGTGCCTGACACTCATTAGTCAATAATCACAGAATTATGTTATCCCCCCCCCCGCCCGCCATCTGTGTGTTGGTTTTTATGTGCTTCTTTTTCCAGGCAACATCATACCCTTAAGACACAATTTAGCGAGCCATGCAATCGATCTTTTAATGCGTCCAAATAGTTTCAAGGGTTTGCCACGGACTGTATCAAAGAGGGAAGGAAGATGGCTTACATTTCTAAAAGTGGTTATTTTCAGTTTCTCTATCAGTTTGTGATCTGTAATGATGTCTATCATATGATTTTGGAATGTTTCAATTTGAGCCGAACATTTTTGAGTCGTGCCACATTAATCTAAAACCCATATGAAAGAATGTACTATTCCCGTGCATAAGGCGATCTTTAGATAAGACGAGGTAAAAAAAATATAGAAATTTTTTTTATGAATTTATCCTATACCTGTAGTATAAGACGACAGCTTATTGATTATATAAAGATGATGTTATTGGAAATGTTACTGCATCCTTAAAAATTCAAAATAAAAGAAGTAACAAAATTGATTCTATATCATGTTTTTCCTACACGCGTCCCTTAAAAGGGAAACCATTATTTTGTATACGTTTCATCATGTGATCTCTTACAAATACTTCTTCTTCTTCTTCTTCTTCTTCTTCTTCTTCTTCTTCTTCTTCTTCTTCTTCTTCTTCTTCTTCTATATCTAAACAGTTACAAGCAGCCTGGTGTACTAATGGCCATTTACTTATACTTCATCGTCAATCACAAAATACCGCTAATAATAGCATGATAATGTACAATAATAGTACATTCCAATGCAATCATAACTCAATGTTTATATTTTCTCATCTGAGCTTGAATGGATACAAGTTGATATGGAATTATTCTTTGAATAGGCAATTTATTATGAAGTTATGCCAGTAGGATATAAGATAGAAATGGTTTTGTTACTTTTGTTATCAGTTTATTAAATTTGATAATGTGAATCTTTTCAGATACGTTATTGATTATCGTACCGAGGCCAAGGTTAGCCTACCGACAAACATCGCTCAGAATTTAAGGTTTCTTTTTTAGAATTGTAGTATAAGACGACCCCAAATTTTTAAGGGTGATTTTTGGGATTTAAATGTCGTCTTATACGCGGAAATATACGGTATATTTTCATTTTTAGTAGAGATTGTTACTCTTGTTTATTTCGACATTCCTTATAATTCCAAAAGCAGTCCACCCAAGGTTTATTTGATGTTCTACTGCAACTTGTTGGTCTTTCTTGCTCATAATTTGGGTTACCTGTGAGTGTTAAATTCTCCAGGCTATCTTTCTACCTTATGTGTCATAGACATTTCAGTTGTCTCTTTTTGGTTGTTACAGTTAATTGTAGGTTCATCAACGAATTTGTCCTTATCAAAAGAATTGCATGAAATGTTTATGGAACACGTTCATTGAAATGGTTTGCAATGAAAATGTTCTAGAATAATACTTAGGTTTTCCATCTGACAGACGACAGGAATTCTTACGGCTTTTTCTTTAATGATTAGAAGAAACAAATTGACAGCGTTTGTGAAATGCACCCCACCGCCCTAAAATAGCTGAAAATTATCGCGCACACACACACACACACACACACACACACACACACACACACACACACACACACACATACACACACACAAATAAACAAATCCATTGTGAAAATTGTCGTGACATTTCATTGGCTGAATATTTTGAACCTGTTCATGTCGGAAAAAAGTACACATTAACACTGCCATCTCTGATTTCGGTCACAAATTTAAACTCGTGCCAGGGCAACGTGAAGGATAGTGAGTTGGTGGGTGGTAATGGATGGCTGCTAATGGATAAGGTTGTGCATTTAACTAAAGTTTGTGATTCATAAAAATAAAAACTAGTCTTCCAGATATTTCTGCTTTTATTTTATATTGTATAACAAATAAAGTTTTTTTCTTTCTTTCTTTTAGAACGAGCTACCCCCCCCCCACCTCATATGGTTCAGGTTACTTTAGATGCGTCCCTCCCCCACTATACAGTCAATGCAGAGGAAAAGTGTACTTAAATCCTAATGCTAAGAAGAGAAATGTCACTTACTACCTGCAGGAAAATAATTTAATAGCCTAGTAGACCGCATACACAGAAAAATATGGAGTAAAAAACGTTTTGCAACAGTTATTTAAGGATGGAATTGAAAGAAGAAAAATAGAAGAAAAATTATCTATGGTTACAAAAAACAATTTTTATGTATCTATATAAAATATTTGTTTAAAAAATGCTTTATATTGCGTTTTTTTATTTTATTAATTTATTTATGAATACAAAATTTGTTATTTTATTCTATTTTCTTATATTCAAATACGTAAATGTATTTGATTAGATAAAAATGCAAAGAAGTGATTTTTTTTTAACGTAAACTAGATGAAACACAATCGAAAGGGAAATTGATATTTTATTAATTTTAAATCTTTTTAGTCACTAGACTTGCCATAGACGAGGCCTGCATGTGTACACAAAGCAGCTGAATTCATTTCAGACTTGATTTTATACTTATCTTGTATACAAACTTGAAAGAATCACACCGGATATAATAATTATGTACATAAAAACATGCACATAAACATAAAACACATGATGAACATAAAACATATGCGCAATCTTTCTCTTCCTTAACAACAAAAACTTGAAAAACACGTTCATTTTTTAACTTCTCTCTCTCTCTCCATCTCTCTCTCCATATATATATCTCTCTCTCCATCTCTCTCTCCATATATATATCTCTCTCTGTTTCTTTCTTACTCTCCTCAAAAGGGTGTTTAAAAACTTTTCAAAACTGACCAAATGATAGATGTGGGTGTGCGTGTGTGTATGTATGTGTGTGTATGTGTTAAATTCCTTCTTCTTGTGGAAACTGAGAAATTTTCAGCACCCCCTTTTATGCTCTTAATGCACCGTTTAGGCAAAACATCTAAAAAAAAATTTTTTTTTAAATTATTATATTGAATGCAGTTGATTTTTAAAATTTTTTTTCTACGTTGAATCAAAAAACACGGACGTCCGCTTTTCCTTTTTTTTTCTCTAACCTTAGTTCAATTAATAAATCCAATTTAATTTGAATTAAAAGATTAATTAATAAAAAAATTAAAAAGTTAAAAAAAAAGAATAAGAGTAATGGCGTGTTGTGTTAGATTTTAAAAATTAAAATTTCTACATTCTCATGTACTGTGTTGGGATATCTCGAGGAAGTGTTGGGATATCTCGCGGAAGTGTTGGGATATCTCGCAGAAGTGTTGGGATATCTCGGGAAGTGTTGGGATATCTCGAGGAAGTGTTGGGATATCTCGAGGAAGTGTTGGGATATCTCGAGTAAGTATTGGGATTTCTCGCGGAAGTGTTGGGATATCTCGAGGAAGTGTTGGGATATCTCGAGGAAGTGTTGGGATATCTCGAGGAAGTGTTACATAAAAGTTAAAACACTACACATTATACAAGTGTTATAAAATATATTACAGTTATTTTATTTATATGTACGGGATATATTTTTGGTTATCAACTTATATTTTGGTTAAACTTAAGCTTAAAAATAAAAACAAGAAACATCGTTTAACTATTCAATAAATTAACTTAACAGTTACTACTGAAGTTGAAAAACAAAAAAAGAAACGCTTATAACTTCTTAAAACAAACCACATGTATTAGAGTTCTAAGTTCTATGTGTAAATTTATTTTATTTACTTTTGTTTAATAGTAAAAATTGAAAATAATTTTAAAAAATAATGAATAAAATAAAAAGACGCACCTAACATCGTTTAGAAAAACGTTTTAACTTTAATAAAACTTTTTAATTAAGTTAAATAAATCTTATTCAATCAGATGGAAAGAGATGTAGATTGTAAATTCAGTCGAAAGTTAGAATAAATTTAGAAAAAGTGTTGATAACTAAAAAGCTAAAAAAAAGTAATGTTTTATTACACGCAGATAACTTTCGTAGAGGTTTAAAAGTTAAAACAAACTGTTCACAGCAGATACATACATTTAATATACATCCTAACAAACAACATCAAAGTTGCTACAAAAAAAGTGAAAAGTTAGTTACCTTTTTCTTTGCAGTGATTAAAGAAGTTGTAGAAATTAATGGAACTGCCATTTTTATTCGGATTATTATTCTTCGGCGGACGTGATCATGCCTCATGGAATTCACAATGGTAGCAACTTATTTTGGAATATAGACACAGAACATAAAAAGTAGTAATGGCAAAAAAGCTCTTAACAGTCGACAGGAGGAAGAAATGCTTTCGTCCAAACTTGGGTTGTATTTTTAAAGCATCGTCGACTGTGTGTGTGTGTGTGTGTGTGTGTGTGTGTGTGTGTGTGTGTGTGTGTGTGTGTGTGTGTCGCGCGTGTGCGATGTGTGTTCTTTATTATTACCACTTCCCACAACTGGGAAATTCACCGCCCCGAAGGGCGTGCAGCAGAGACGAAGAATGAGGGAAGCCTGAGCTCACCGAAGGAAAGAAAGTAAAGCACTGAAAAGTGATTGGTGAGGGTACAAAAAAAGGAAGCCAAAACAAGAAAGAGAGATGGTATGTATGGAAGAGAAAGAGAGAGAGAGAGAGAGATTTTGCAAGCCTGGGAACTTGAAGAATGATTTTATAAAAAAAATAAAGAGTGAAAGTGATACAGAAAAAGAGGAATTAAAGAAGATGGAATGAAGAAGGAAACGAAATGTTTTGATTTACGGAGAGGGAATGAATGAATGAAAAGGTGACAGGGTGAAGAGAAGAGGGAAATTGTTTAAAACAAAAGAAGAATTTTAAAAATAAAATATGACAACGCATGTTGAAAACGTACGTACGAACAACAAGGAGAGAAAAGGTAAATTTAGGCGGGAAATTTTAAGACTTGCTTCAAAACTAAGGCACAGAATGGGAGATTATGAGTGAACCAGCCCAACTTTTAGAGAGGGAGTTGGTAAAAGTTTTAAAGCGAGAATGATTTAAACACCCAAAGCGAGCCAGTATGGGTAGATGAGGGCAGACAAAAAAAACTGTCTGATGAGTGACACACATAAAAGGCCAAGTACATCTATCTGCATACAACATGTGGATGTCAATAGGTAGCTGGGTGGGTAGGTAGGTTTATCGGTTTATATTACCACTTCTCGAAGTTTCATATTTCACTGTCACTCCTGTTCAAGTTTCTAGCTGTCATGTTCCCTCAATTCATCGCTTTTTTTTTTATTCTTAATTATTCGCCATTTATTCCTCTTTTCATTTCTCTTTAAGGGACTATTTAAATATAGTGGTCCACTTGTTAAAAACAAGGATTTAAAAAAATAAATTTTGTAGATTAGCATTATTTAGATCTTCTTTAGGCCGTGGCACTTGCCAGGATAGAAAAATATTGATTTTTTTTTATCGTTTTCGAAAAAGGGGTTTAATAGCGATATACAGTGTAAAATCGATCCCTTTATCAGTTTATTTACAAATGTCGAATTTTGAAAATATGCTTATGTCCTTATCAGAACCCGAAAAAAACAAACTTTTTTTTATTTTACAAAAAGATTTGTTTTGAATAAAAAAAAAACAAAGAAAAATTAGAGATGCATAATATTCAGAAGTAATTTAGGAAGTTAATCAAAAATGAATAATAATGGCTGACAATGCTTCATTCAATAAAAAATGAAGATGAAAATAAATATTAGTCAAAAATATATAGTCAAGAATTTGTAAACGTGGTCTGCACAGAAAGGATCTAACTCGTGAACCATTTCTGAGGCGTTGATGTAATCTGTCAAACAATAAGAAGAGATCTTACTGCGCATAATGTGGGTGGCGTTTGTACAGAGAGGCACTCCCGTCAAAAATAGAGTAATTTTTCAATTTTTTTTTAAGCACTCTAGATCATGAATACATATATATATATATATATATATATATATATATATATATATATATATATATATTTCATTAATTAAAAAACAATTAATAGGGGGTTGATATGTTTATTCATTGTAAATTGATCCCCTTGCGGAAGCCAAAACAAAATATGCTCATAAAACGTGATTTTTTAAAATGTAAAAAAAAAACATGATATTGATATTGATAATCTGGAGTTCTATCGATTAGGCGCAGCAGATTTACCTCTGAGGCCTCTGACCGGGAGAATCGAGGTTTTGAGGAGCGTGTTCCCAAGTACACCCTGATCAGGAGTGGTAGCACCTGTTAGGGTCCCAGCTATGGGTAGATAGTTCCCCCCTCGCGCGAAGAAAAATCAACAGTATATTTTTATAATAAAATGAGCAACAACAGATTTTTTTATATCAAAATGACAATCAATGCAACACTAAAAAACATAAAAATACATTATTATAGTAAAATAACCAACAATACATTTTATTATCTACAAACTATATATGTAAAAAAGCATACCTTTACTCTGAAAGTATAAAATTATCTACAAAACACAGGTATACATTGGGTTACGTCGTTTCGTGTTAAGTTGTTCTCAATTATACATCGTTTGTCAAGAAAAATAAAAATCAAGTTTAACTCATTTCATTCGACTTTACATCTGTCTACCACAAATATTAAAGTCGTAATATCACTAGAAAAGCGTTTATTGGGTTCGTCTATTAGCCCAATCTTACCTTCTTCGAGTAATGCACTATTCTAACTTTCATTCGTAAATCTAGCCCTCCGATTGGTTCATTTCTACCAATCAGATCGCGCGCACGTGCACTTCGAAGTTTTGGCGCAAAATCGCTCTGGAGCCACCCCACGTGATCATGACCTCTTAAAAGGAACCAAAAGCACGTGTGACCAGGGACGCAGAGGGAGACGCAGAAGCAGACGCAGACCTGGGCAGATCAGCAACAGACCATTTTTCGATCGCTCACTCAAGCTTAAAAATGTGACGACTACTAATTACCGTCCCGCTAATCGAGACGACAAATCTTTCCCGTTCAATATCTTCTACGAACTTTTTCGTCATTCAAGAATCGCAAACTATACATCCTCTTTGATGATCTACGATAAATCAGTCAGTCGAGCGAGCACAGAGATATGCTAATATAATCCACGTCGCTTACAACTGCAATCTTGCCGCGCAAACTAACGCGCAAACTAAATCATTACTAATTCACTCGCAAGCTCAAATCGAAGAACACTCTGTGAACACACAAAACTTCTATCCGAACAACTTTACTTATCCAAAAGTGAATTGACGCTCACTACTATTCTAAGTAAATAACATCATCGAACGAACTCAACATTTGCAGTCAAAGGTAGACTACTTCGTAATGACTCATTTCTAAAACACAATACCTACATTCTAAATATTAATTACAATTTCCTAAAAAGACTGTAACGTTGATACACAAGACATAAAAAAGGACATACAAAAAGTACAAATATCACGAGCACAGCAACACATTAACAATCTTAAAATATCCTGTATATATTATCTTATTTGTATATAAATGCTTTTATTGGTGTTGAATTGCATGTATGTTTTGTCTTGTTTATATTGAAATTGTTTATTTGTTTGTGGATGCAGAAAAGTTCACGCAACTTAACATAAATTTCCTTCTGATTCAACTCAATCCTACACCAAATTCCTTAGTTTATTCTGCACATCCCCAACACGTTAAACGCACATAAAATCATGTTAGTGTACAATAAATAAGAATAAAAGTATATAAAATCATATCAAAATACGTACATTTACAGTAAATGTTAATATAATTATCATAAATCATAGAGAACGAAATATGAAAAAATCTGTGACTGTGTTGTCGTCTTATTTAGCGGCCTTTAACTTGCTCAATGTTGGCGTTTTCCACGGTAGTTCCAATATCTACCGTTTGGTGTCGTTGTCAGCGCCACTCGCGATTCCCGCGAAATTGAAATGTAGTTTAGTTTAGGCATATGCCCGATACATGTCGGCTTATCGCCTACTCTCTCATTCTCATTCATTTGTGACTTTATATTTTACCCCAATAAGAAAAGAGGAAAATCTTTCTCTTTCGATTCATAGATTGAATCCTCAGTGTGCTGCTATTAGTCAAGAAATCATTCAAGCGAAAGCGTTGTCTTAGTTTGAGGACCTGAACAAAAATACCCAGATTAGAAAGATGTGGAGTTTAAAATGAGTCAAGGCTAGTTTATGAGATTTAAAGAATGAAGAAGTTATCACTCTATTAAGAAGCAAGGTGAAAGTGCATCAGCGTACGAACAAGCAGCAGCCGATTTTCCTAAAGCATTGACTAAGATCATCGAAGAAAACGGTTTTCTTCCTGAACAGATTTTTAACGATGACGAAACTAGATTATATTGGAAAAAAGTACCAGACCGTTGTTTCATTGCTAATGTTAAGCGTAAGGCTATATGGCTGATAAATTATTTTATTCAGAATAATGTACGTACATATCATAAATACTGTGATATGCAATGTGGAGTGCTTATTTGCTGTTTATAGTGTGGTTATTTCCACTTAAGTCGTTTTTCGACCTAAGTCGTAACCTCTGGAACCAATTAACGACGTAGGGTAAGGTATACCTGTATCGGGAGTTGAAAGCATAAAATTGCGTACAAAATATTTAGATTTCGGCATTAAGTGACCCATAGAAGCTGATAGGGCGTTAAACAAAATCAACCAACAACCCTTTTAAATTTTCTGAAATCATGTATATTTGTTTATGAATTTACATGGTAAATTGGACCCTTGATTAACCTTTATAAAATTTAATAATATTTTTTATATTCGGCATATGGAGTACTTCTTCTCCATGTGCTGTGTCCCCTCAGGACGTAGGCGATCATGGTTCTCCACAATTTCCTGTCCCTTGTAGATCTTAATACACTTTCTCTATTTGTTATTTCTCCCAAACTCAGTTCCGCCAAGCATTTACTCAGGCTCATTAAGTAGGTTATACGTTGTTTTCCTCTGCCCCTCCTGTCTTCAATCTGTCCTATGAGTATCAGATTTTCCAAGCCCTCTTTCCTCATTATGTGCCCTAGAAACCTCAACTGTCTCTTCCTGATGTTAAGTCTTAGTTTATTTTTTGTGTCCATTTTTTCTAAAACGTCGTCGCTGTTCACATAATCGGTGAATGGTATCTTCAGCATCCTTCTGTAGAACCACGTTTCTGTTGATTCAAGTCAGTTCTTCATCTTTGAGGAGATTGTCTAGCACTCACTGCCATACAGGAGGATATATATCGCGTCGCAGTTTAGTACTCTTTTCTTTGTTTCTAACGAAATTATTCTATTTCTTAGTACTCTGCTTAGCTTTTTTGGAAGACATCTTCGCCCATCCCAATATGCCTTTGGGTTTTTTGCCTCTTTTAATTAAAACAGCATTTCTAAAAATTAAAATTATGGTCAGATTCAATGTGGAATATTTAAAAATAACAGTGACAAAGACAAAAAACAAATGCATTGGAAAATTTAAATCAGATCAGTTGAGTTCTTCTGCTTAGGCTTGTCAAAAATTTAAAACTATATATTTGAGGAGATTGTCAAGCATTCACTGATATATAGAACCAATACCGCGTAACAGTTCAGTACTCTTTGCTTTGTTTCTAACGAAGTTTTCCTGTTTCTTATTACTCTGCTTAGCTTTTAGAAAGCATCTTTGGCTATCCCATTGCGCCTTTGTATTTATATATTAGATCACCAAAAATATTCGTGCGGCTTGTTTTATTCAATGATTTTGCACGACACTTGTTTCTTTAATATGTATCGGTTTCCATTGCCGTATCGTTTCATCCCTTGTTGATTGATTGATTTTGTTTAGCGACATATCAACACCTCTATGGGTTATTTTAATGCCGAAA